GCAAGACCCAATTTCCAGACAAGGGTGCACGCAGTCACGCCGCCGTGAGACGGCTTGGGACCCAGCTTATCGCGAATACCACCCTCTGCACTCATACTCTGTATGAGATCGAGAGCTCAGACTAATACACCTACTATCCCAAAGATCGTTTGTTCATCCTCTTTACAACAAAACCCTGGGATTCGCATATTCGCCTCCATCTGGTGATTTGTGTGTCCATTCATACAGCATCGTACCCGTACGTTTATCACTGTTCCTCATGAAGTGTACAACATAGTCCACATCCATTGGAAAATTTTCTGAACTCTATATGACGTATTTTAAAGGCATAGAAGAATATGTAATTTCCTTTACGCGGAACGCATGCAACTTATAGACTGAAATCACTAGGCCCTAATGCAACGATTGATCAGGCTCCAAATTATTCGCGAATTTGAAAACTTTCTTAAAACCTAATTATACTCGATTTTCGAGAATAAAATATAGTGATGACGTGATTCTCTATCAAACGACCGAAAGAAAGCATGTCTTTGTTCGTGATTTCTATAAAATATATTGGAATTTGTAAGACTATCGACAACCAATATGATAAATGCATGCTACGTATGTAATCATTTTGTACCAAATACAATTTCTACAGAATATTGAAAAGCAGTGCATTTAAGGGTTGACATCCTACCACGTCCGAAGTATCATAAGACAAGGTCGCATGTTAATCAGTATTAACCGCGCCTAAGTAGTCCTTTCTAATCGAAAACGCATTTCAGAATTCTGACCAACATTTCCTGTGATCGGTCACTCACTGTAGACATGTCTGTAGCCACTGGCGATTGAGGTGCCCCCGATTATCAGCTTGCAACGTTCGACGCTCAGTATCTGATATTACGAACGCACTCGGAAGAGATTGTTTTAGTGTTAGAAGATGCCACGCTAGCGACACAGGTACTAGCTAAGAGCCCAGACACGCGTGTTTCGCCGATATTCTGCTGCTGCAGGTTACAGCTGTGAGAGGTTCGGCTCAACAATGGGTCTCCTAGCATTCCCGTGTGCTTTTCGATAAATACTCCAGTTTAAAAATTGTTGCCTTTTAATTCACTCAAAAATTAACCGTATACTTAGAGTGAATCAGCATATACTAAGGTCTATAGGGGCAAACCGAGATTTGGTTTCTCATGTCTGCACTGATTGTCCACACTTTGGAGACAATTTTCCCGGCGTTTTCACTCAAAGTATAGATCCGGATAACTTTCTGTCAGCACAAAAGAGAAATTTTGTATTCTGATTATTCAGCCCTACTGAGGGCTGTAAGATATGGCCCAGTCTTAAAAAATTATTTTCGGGTGGAGCCTAAGCTGTGACCTCCGAAGTACATCTGTGCATCAGTGCCACAAGTGCAGTTTGGAAACGAGAACTAGCAAAATGTATGCATGGCCAATATTAAAATCTAAATACGTCGCTTTAAAAAATGCTAAGACGTATTTATCGTCTTCTTAAGAGATGACCGCTGATATTTCGCTACCAAGGGCTTGTTCAAAACGACTTCAGTTTGACAAGAACCTAGTTATTAGCGCTTAGCTACCTAGGTGCCTAAACCTTATAGGCCGCAACATCCACTCGAGTAATTTCGATCATTTATCGCCCTCGGCTGTACAGATGCATCAACCCTATCTTTCGTCTGAATAACTGAAAAATACCGTGTGTGTGCGGCGGTGGTTACCCCATCTCCCTGATAGATTCACACACCAGCAGACGTCTAGAATTTCAAATTTATTATGATGTCCTCACAACAGATAGGAGACAGCCCTTATCTACAACTCCTTGAGTTCTGATAAGAAGGCCTTTTGCCCAGTCGTGTGCTTTCACGCCGTCTCCCAATGGCTTGTTCTTGTTTTCTTCACCAGTCAATTCTAGTCAAGTTCCCGATAGGTCCATTTTACCAATCAGATAGCGCCGTGTTTAGGCTCAAGGTTGCCTGGAGGTGCTAGAACGCTGATTGGTTGAAAAGTGGGCTCATACTGCGTTTTTAATGGTACACGCACTAATAGCTCCTTCAGGCCTTCCTGAACTTCACCGCAATTTTTAAAGGAGAGGAAAGTGCTTCAGACTGGAGTAAGAATCCCAGCGAGAGAAATTCCCTCAAACCCCGTAAGCAAATGTACATTTATTGAAAACCTGAACTCTAAACAAGAGTGATGGGGAGAGAGAAGAGGTCTAATTTGCCCCATTCAGTTTGGGTGAGAAGTAAAATCGCAAAATGTCTACCAACATCACAAAAGCAATTTCCTAGCATTGTCAGATGAAAAATGGATATCCGTAGAGGGTCGCAGATGGGTATACCATCATACGAAGCGCGATTGCGTGAAAGAGGGGGGGGGGAGAGAAGGATTTACTGTCAGCAGTTGCAGTGGGCATACAATGCCCATTAGATCAAGGCGTATGAGGCAAAAAATAAACCTCTCCCTAAAAACTTTGTTATTCTTTAAGGGGTGGTGGGGAGTAAATAGGATTAGGGTGCGGAGGGGGGAGGGGGGGTTGTGGTGATTGAGAGAACTCTGCGACACCAAGTGCCTAGTCTTCTTTGGGTGATTGTCTCAAAAAGCAGACATTAGACGCAGGTAGACTGAGAGAGGGTTCTGGGGGGAGGGGGAAGGGAGTTTCAGGCAGGTCACCATCGTCATCAAGGCGGCCTTCTACTTCGCCAGCACCTCCATCGATCTTCGGCAGACGGTGCACCGACTCACGTGACGAAGAAGGTCGGACTTGTAGGTGCTGCCGACGGGTTTCACAAACTGGTCCTCAGATGAGAGCGCCTTCAGCCAGTAGGATCGGCCATCCTGCCAGTGGAAACAACGACCCTCGTTGTTGTTGCATTCGATGAAGGGCAACGCACGGAAGTTCATCAGACAGCTTCCGGGCGATTCCAGTGGCTGGACACCGCCTGAAATTGATGCGCTCACCACCTATGTTGGACGAAGGGAATGGGTGCATATTAACTCTACGGTATTTGTAGACCGAATGGTGTTCTAGGCGAGGCAGATAGGTCAGTAGGTCAGTATAGGTCAGTATATTTTAAGAGTAATAGGCAATGCCTTTGAAAACCCTATTGTAAACGGTACATGCAATATCTCACTATAAATAGACATGGTACTGAAATATTGTCAGTAATATACACATTTAACATAATATTTTCCGTGAAAATGTAGAACCAAAATTTTAGAACATTCAGTTGTAGATGATTTCAGTAAAATGTAATGACGGTCATCCGCATCAGCGGTATGGGTATGCAAGGCGTTGGTTAAGCACCACAGAGCTGTTCTATTCAGGCAAGCGATAGTGTCCAAGCAAATATGCATCGAGTCTTTGCTTGAACGTCTCCGTGGTATCCGCCATTATTACGTCCTCGGGAAGCTCGTTCCAGGCACCGACGACTCGTTGTGAAAAACAGTATTTGCGAACGTCCAGGCGGCATCGGGATCCTCTAAGTTTTAGAGAGTTCCCACGCAGGTTTGTTGTTGTGGCCAGGGTGAAGAAATCGTCGGGGTTTAGGGCACATTCCCGGTTCCTCAATATCCGATAGGCCTGTATGAGATCTCCTCGAACCTGCCTGTACTGTTTGACCGTCTTTGCCGACGATGCCCACCGTGTAAGAGCACGCAAGATGACTTGCGCTGCATCTGTCGCATCTGTCCCCCACATGGACCCGGTGTCCTGACCAAACCAAGTAGCACAGAGGCGGGAGAGGGTGCGGCGAAAACCTGCACCTAGGCGTACCCCTACACCCCCCACTGGTCCACAACGTACGCGGACCAGTGTTCTCTAACAATAAGAGATAAGGGGGACGGGTTTGATCTCACTAGGTGTGAATGCCATGGGTTCCACGTTAAGAAAGAGCCCCCTGCGGCCCGAATCTCAACCCCCCAGTCCGCTACTCCACATAAGCACACACTGAGCTGATTGTGAGGTTCGAGATATCCCGTGAGTTGGGAGCCTTCTAAGCTAGACGTTTTAGTCAACCTTAATGAGCAGGCGAATTGCTGTCACCATGAGGTCATGATCGAGCAACAGAAGGACAACGAATCCGCTTCATCGCACGGGAGGAAATAAACCAGATGCTTGGATTTAATTAGAAGACTGTCTAAGCATGACTGAACTGGGAAAAGTGACGGCTCATACGGAGTAGCCCAGCAGGGCTAGGAAGGACAGGCTAAGGCCTAATTTGCAGCCGACAATACCCGGCGTCTTTCCTCAATCCCTATCCGTGCCAAGGTCCTTTACAGCCCCTACGCTTGATCACGGACTTACTGAACGCGCAACTGCAGAGCGGGTGGACTCCGATAGTCTTAAGCGTCAGTGTATTACGGAGACACCCCGACACCCAAACAAAGCAACACAGACCAGTAGACGATAGCTCGACCAGAAGAGGAAGCGGTCACTGGAACAAGGGTTTTATTCGCCTGACGTTTCGGATTCTCACTTGAATCCATCATCAGAGACAGTGGCAGAAAAGGGTGACCCGTGAACAGGAAGTTGCAGTATTTATAGGATGCAGCCGCCATGTAACCGCATACCTAGTTCGCGGTCCATTCGACGAGACCCGGCCACAAATTCAAGTTCGATGAGGCCGGAATTCTCGCGAGAGGTGATAATCGCGTGAGTCGCGAGTTGTTTGAGTCATGGTTCATGGGACCTCAGTCTATCAACAAGTGCATCGACATCCCCACTCCATATTCCGTGCTGAGGCGTAGGCTGGCCAAAGCAACTGACCACTCGGGGAGCGCGTAAGCCGGTGAGCTAGATGGCCGAGCAAACGTCACGCCAGCATCCAACACGGGTGATGAAATTTCGGCAATTAACAACTTGCATGCTGGCCATCCAGCAATTAGCGCACCAGCGAGCAGCAATCCTTGGAGGGGGGGACGCAGTTAATTGCTATAGGTATGCGGTAGAATAGCGACTGCATCCTATAAATACCGTAACTTCCTGCGCACGGGTCACCCTTTTCTGCCACTGTCTCTGATGATGGATTCAAGTGAGAATCCGAAACGTCAGACGAATAAAGCCCTTGTTCCAGCGATCGCTTCTTATTCTGATAGTTCGACCGTTACTTCCGACAATGTCCACCGCGTACCCCACAGCAGGATGGGGGTGGGGACGGTAACTTGGGCGTGAATCAGTTTACGGTGATAGTAGACCTGGGCTACGTCTAACGCACTCTCTCCTGCCTTACCTGCCTGAGACCGTTGTGAAAATGGAATCGAGCTGGATCGAGCACAAGTGGCTGTGGAGGCGTGTGTGCCTGCAATTCGGCGTGCCATCACACCACCCCCATGTGTGGCCTTTTCTCTGGCTGCCAACAACAGTCAGGTGTGAATAAACACCGGCCCCACAATCCATTGCCTCGCCAACGGCCACTGCCGGGTTCTGAATACAACAAACCTCGCATTCTGTTATCTACCAACTTATTGCTACTTGGCTTGAATATTGTGACAATTCAAGTATGGTCATTTCTTGAGCCGCTACAAGAATAAATTTCGGGGTACCATATCTTCGACGTACAGTAGGTGGGCTAACTCATGAAATGTCAACCGAAATTTCGAAATGCCTTCTCGTGTCGAAAAGATTAATTAAGTAGGGTTGTAAAACTAGTCAGCCTGCAACATAATTCTATAATATTTCAGTTACCTCAGGATACCGGCTTTCGGATGAACTTATTTCCGACTGCATGTAATAACTATCATCCGCAAAAAATGACTACTTATGTAGCATGCAATCTTATCATTGGTTTTCGATGCCCTTGACAATTCGATTATATTTCATGGAAAACATGCACAAAAATATTCAATCTTTTGCTCATTCGGTAGAAAATTGCCTCTTCTTTCAACGTTATACTCGAAGGAAGGGTATAATACGGTTTTTTAAAACGTTTCCAATTACCGAATAGTTTTGAACCCGACCTGCTGTTACAATTGCATTCAGGGTTTCAAAACTATAAGCCGTATATTTTCCGTGTACGGAAAACCATACATTTATTTACGATATTACGACGAGACCATATGGGTTTCATAAAATTAAGCAGTGGATTTGAGCAATATCGTCAAAATTACAAGCCACGTTCATAAATGCAGATACATGACGTATTATGAAGGGCCATTTCGCGGTATTAAAAAATCTCACAATTAGAAACTTTTTTGAAACTGATTTATACCCTTCTTTCGAAAATAAAATTGGGAAAAGATGTGATTTTCTACCGAATAAGTAAAAGAATGAATATTTTAATGCATTTTTTCATGAAATATAATTGAATTTTCGAGGGCATCGAAAACCACTGAGAAAATTGCATGCTGCTTAAGTAGTCATTTTTTGCAGAGCATAGTTCTTGCATGCAATCGGAAATAAATTCATTCGAAAGCCGACATCCTGAGGTAACTGGATCATTATAAAAGTGTACTGCATGGTGGTTAGTTTTACAACCCTACTTAATTAATCTTTTCGAAACGAGAACGCATTTCGGAAGTTCGGTTGACGTTTCATGAGTTAGCCCATCTTCCGTAGTCTGCGTAGCTATCTACCTCACAGAAGGAGAGGAACCGGATCCCTGAGGTTGCTTACTTTCAACCACGTTGTATACTTCCCCCTTTAGTGTTATGAAGACAAGGTCGGCAGGGGGAGGCGGTGGGGGGCGGGCGCTTACCATTGGCATGCTGAATCCCGTCCAAGCGTGATCCCATCCCTGCGGACAACCGCCTGCACCATCGGCCCGCTGCGAGTGGAAGGCTAGCAGATTTGTTCGCGACTCACACACCACACACCTGCATCGAAAAGGGAGCGTGTTTTAGCCCGGTAACACGGCAGCGTGCCTTCTAGCAGAAGGCAGTGATGGACAATTGCAGGTAGCGCATACAACATGGGGGGGGGGCGAGAGAACGGTCTGTCCAGCTGCCGACTGGAGGACCAGAGCGCCTACCTGGAAATGTACCGCTGAATCCTATCCACCGGCAGTGGCTCCGTCATGTAGTGCTCCAGAGTGGACAACCAGTAGGAACGACCGTTACGCATGTTGGCCTGACAGGCACCTGATGGTGCCTGTGCGAAACAGGAGGCAAAAGGCATCAGCGAGAAGGTGCGCATGCAGGATCCGGAGGAGCCTGCGAACCGAATCACAACCGGAGACGGTAAAGATGTTAGAAATAGTGAAAAACTACTGATAATAGCGATGGTGAATGTGCTGGGCACGTTCGGCCTTTTTGCCATCGTCAGACCGTCATGATCAAAAAAACTGGGTTGCAGGGACATGAGGCAAGCTATCGGTCCTCAGATCACTGACTCACTAATGGAGAACTATTTTACGATTTGTTGGCTCGATAATTTGCACAATGAATGTTACTGTTCCCCATAAGAACTTGGTCTCGTTATCCTCTACTTTCTCGGGCCACCTGTTGTTGAATATCTACGTATATACATGCACTGGAAGATGGGCATCCCAAGAAACAAAATTTGAAGAAAAATGAGTTCTTTGGGGATTTGAACAAACTTTAGTATGTAAATTTTCGAAGTTTGTTCCACAGGTTGTCGCAAAACATGTAGGAGACGTGAAAAACAGCAGAAAACTAAACATGCCCGCAAAAACGATATCGCTTTGTCAGTGCTGAGGATGGGTTGGAGCAATGGGCTGACGTCCCACCTTATAATTGGCCACTACCTTTTCAATTTTTCTTTGAGATTTGTGTACATTGCGCCCAGACCAATGCGTCGAAGAATGGTTGGATCATCAGAGTGAATTACCTCTGGAAATTCTTGGTCTTACTTATATGGGCAGGAGCCGGCAATGCGCGTTTTCTCCCAAGCTAATTTTTGTGCAACTTGGGGACCAACGTCGAAAAGTTTCGAAATAAAGTTTATTTAATTTGCCGAAGAACTAATTTTTCTTCCAAATATATATATATATATATGTTGGAAAGGTAATACCGACAAAGACAAGGGAGACCGGAATGGCCATTTCTGGCTTATTAGCCGTCATCAGCCAGTCATACCCAACCCCAAGTGTGGATCACTTGAGATTCGAACCCGGGATCTTTGGTCATGGAGTTGAACGCTCTACCATTGAGCCACGGGCCCGTTGTCCTGTCGGTTGTGATCGGGAATATTAATTATGATAGTGGGCGCTCACCGATCAGGTTACGGAACATGCTCGTTCCGTTGTGCCTTGGGGCTCATACTTAAACCCTCGCAGGCGGTCGCACAGCGACTAGTGATATATGTTGGAAAGGTTGGTAGGTTGGAAAGGTTTAAGTATGAGCCCCAAGGCACAACGGAACGAGCATGTTCCGTAACCTGATCGGTGAGCGCCCACTATCATAATATATATATATATATATATTCAGGTGAATAATTTCAGAAATTAACCAGTGCAGGACTTGGAGTTAAATCTCTGGGACCTGACTTTTCAGGGTCAAAACCGAAAGTTCAATGAACTACTACTCGTAGTACTACTTGTTTGTAGAATGGGCATTACGTGGTTGTTCCACAGTAGTTGATTGTCTTTGACTCAAATGTTCATTGAAATTTCGGTTCTGACCCTAAAAAGTCATGTCCCGGAGATTTAACTCCAAGTTTTGCGCTGATTAATTTCTGAAATTATTCACCTGATTATTGTCTGGAGTTCATATACCAGAAACCGCTAGAGAACGCTGGGGGTCCCACTGAAGAGCCGAACCCCTCGCAGCTGTGTCACGCAGCGGCAGAATATCGGCGAAACACGTGTCTGGGCTTTTAGCAAGTATCTATGTCGGGAGTACGGTATAATACCTTTACCATATATATATATATAATACGTGAACAGTGCACTGAGAGCGCAAGAGGCCAGGCGCATAAAGTTGTTTTATGGTCGTTTCTGGTCATCGGTACGTCATGAGCCTTGTGAAATGAGATATACAAACATGTCACGTAAGAGTGTGACCCCAACTGCTGTGACTAGGATCTCTCTCGTGAAATCTGTGACGTACTGATGATCGGTAACGACAGTGAAACAACTGCTTGCGTTTGGCCTGTTGCGCTCTTAGAGAGTTGCCTACGTATTATGTGTGGCATGTGTCCTATGGGACAACGTTTGTTTTCGCCAGTAGCAAGCTGGCGGACGGACAGAACGGGATCGAGGGAGATCCTAACCGCATGAGTGAGAGTCACACACTTACTCGAACGCATACATATATACTGGAACGCAGGCATCTCAAGAAATATAATTTGATGTCAAATACGTCCTTTGGGAAAAGTAGAAGATTGCATTAAGTAAATTGTCGATGCTGGTTCCCTAGGTCGTCACCAGACTTGAGTTAATATGCAAAAAACAATAAACAATTCAAACGTGCTGAGAAATCAACATTCATTTGGTGCTTCAGCCAGTTAGCGGCGGCCGTGTGCGTCAGTCTGTATATATATGCTATCGAGGGAAGGGGAGTTCACCGACCGGGTTATGGAACTTGCTCCTCCAGTAATTCATTGGCGTTCAATACAGAGTCCCCGCAGACCGTCATATGGCGAAGGGTACTTCACACAAAGGAAAGCAAGAGTGAAACAGAAACTCCTGGCTTATTAGCCGCCATTATCCAGCCATGTTCAAACCCAGGCCTGGATCACCTGGAATTCGAACCAGGGGTCTTTGTCTATTGAATCCAACGCTCTACCGATGAATCACGAGGCAGTTGTCCTGTGGGTTAGGATCAGGTTTATTACTTATCACGTGAAGGGTGTCCGTCGACTGTAGAACAATAGACTCATTAACCAAAGATCACAGGCTCAGATCCTAGATACATCAAACCTCAGATCGGATGCGGCTGGCAGATGACGGCCAACAAGCCAGAAACAGCCATTTAGATCTCCGTTTTCTTTGTGAAAGCTCCCCAGTTCGCTACGCGACTGCCTGCTAGGATCCGACAATGAGTCCCAAAGAACAACGAGACGAGGAAATCACGTGACCCTGTCGGTGAACGTCCCTTCCTGCGGCAAACAGTATGTCCATTCGCATTCCAAAGGACAGTGGGACCGTGGGTCAGTGGTCAGAGAGTGCGACTTACTATGGTTGAGTAGGCCTGGCTGGCGACATTTAATCCTAAAATGGGCATCCCGGTCTCCCATGTCTTTGTCGGCAACCTCCTACTTGCATATACTACTAATCGCTGTGCGACTAGATTGAGCCGCAGGAACGATTACCATATATCGTGGAATGGCCGTTCGTCGATCAGGTGACGGAATCTACTCATTATGTTGCGTCTTGGATAGCGACCACTTATCATGAAGAAGAGATTATCGACAAAGACGCGGGAGAATGAGACGGCCATCAACTTTCGTCAGCCACTCCTACCCAAAATCATGTTTAGATAACTGGGCATATGAGGCTGAAGGTTTGGGTCGGTGAGTGTTAAGTTCGACGCCATACCACTGGACCACCAGACCACTGTCATGTCTTTGACGATCGAGATTATGAACCATATTGGAGAGGAGCGTTCAAAGATCAGGTTACAGGCCGTGCTTATCTCGCTGCGCCTAGGGACTCAATGAACTGCATCAATTGGAATGGAGTCTGCTGCCACTAAGTCGGGAAATCTCTGTTTATCTCTGTATATGACATTCAGCCTGGAGTGAAGAGACGGGACCATTTACCCAAGGTAGCCATGCACGCACTGGACACAGGACATATATTTGCATGAGCGAAAACCCTCATCGTTTTCGCCCGTGCAACAAAGAAGGTCGGCGAGTTGCTGGAAGTTATGCCCTCAGACGAAGCATATGTCGATAGGCATAGTGATTTAAGCGCCGCATGTATGATTCTTGGTGACAAGTGGATGCGGACAAAACCAATCCCAACAGGACAACTACATATAGCGGACGCCCATTGGCATGATATTCAACCCATCACAAAATATTGTGGACATAGGTAAGAGTTAACTGCAGTAGTATTTATTGCTGGCTGGGGCATGCTACCGGACAACGATTGACAATGAAATACCCCAACATACGCAAGTGAAAGTAGAAGTAGCACAAGCAAATTAAATGAAGCCAAAACGTGTCTACTCATATTCCAACAGTAGACAAGTGGAATTACACAAAAAAGAGTGAAAACACCGATGTCACCTGTTTTCTTGTTCACTGCCCAATCGTCTGCAGACCGGGAGGGGAAACAGTTTAGAAAATGTACGAAATAAAAGTTATTTAGTTCCAAAGGAAACTTCACCAACTTCTAAACATTTGTATATGCAAATGGTCATTCGTATGTGTCTCTTCATGGAATAGAATCCAGTAACCCAAGACCTTACGATCGGCTCATTTGTTTGTCACTTACCCAGGTCCATGGTCATAGAGTTCTCGTTACCCTGCAAGGTGACCAAGCTGTAGCCCGTGTAGAGTTCGTAGGTAAATTCAGGACATGTCGGTGGCGAGTCTCTCTGTGAATGCACAGCAAAGAGGTAGCCACCGTCTGCGTATCCGATGGAACCATTGAGCCCGTCCGGACCACGGTAGCCCCTCGGGCCAGCTTCGCCCTTGGGACCCTCATCTCCAGGCGGACCCATTGAGCCCGCATCACCTGGTGGACCGCGGTCACCGACACGAATGCCACGGTAGCCCTTGACTCCCTTATCACCCGGGAGTCCCTCAAAGCCCGGCAGACCTTTACAATTAATATTTATACATACATAAGCAATGCATATAAATACATGGTTGACTTCAGTCGTGGAAATGAAAGATGCATATGTATATACATATATTCGATGAAGTATTTAACTTCTGAACGCAGCAGGTGGTTGCTACGGATGTGAAAGAAAAATGTAAGGAGTGCTGAACGATCTACCACGAGCGCATGTCTAATTGGCTGTGATCACGAGTACAGTGCGTGACCTATCTCATGAAATGTTGACTGAAGTTCTGAAATGCGTTTTCGATTAGGAAGGATTACTTGGTCGCGGTCGTGATACTGCTTACTTTGTGGCATACTGTTATAACATTTTGGACTTGGCAGGATGTCGGCTTTTAAATGCGCTTCTTTTCAATCTCCTGTAGAAAGCGTGCTCGGTAAAAAATGACTACTTAATTAGCATGCATTTTTCCCATTGATTTTCGATGGTCTTGGAAATTCAAATATATTTTATAGAAACCACAAACAAAAATATACTTTCTTTTAGTCAATCAGTAGAGAATCACGTCTTCTTTATATTTTATACTTAAGGAAGGAGTATAATTAGGTTTTAAAAAAAGTTTTCTAATTGCCGAATAATTTGGAGCCTGATCATTCGTTGCATTAGCGCTTAGTGATTACACTCTACAAGGTGCATGCGTTCCGCGTAAAGAAAATCCCATATTTTTCTATGTCATTAAAGAGATATCATACAGGGTCCATAAAATTTTGCAATGGATGCGGACCATGTTGTACATTTCATGAGGAGCAGTGGTAAACGGCCAGGTACGATGCTATGTGAATGCACATATCGCGGTCTTAGAAAGTCTCATAATTAGAAACTTTTTAAAAACCTAATTATACTCCTTCCTTAAGTATAAAATATAAAGAAGATGTGAGTCCCTATTGATTGCCTAAAAGAAAGCATATTTTTGTTTGTGGTTTCTATAAAATATATTTGAATTTCCAAGACCATCGAAAATCAATGGGAAAAATGCATGCTACATAAGTAGTCATTTTTTACCGAGCACGCTTCCTACAGGAGATTGAAAAGGAGTGCATTTAAAAGCCGACATCCTGCCAAGTCCAAAATGTCATAAGAGTATGCCTTAAGATAATCAGTATCGCAACCGCGACCAAGTAATCCTTCCTAATCATAAACGCATTTCAGAATTTCAGCCAACATTTCATGAGATAGGTCACGCACTGTATGTAAAGTCACACGAAAATGGCCGAACTACATCATTATTTGTGAAAAGACACGCTGATCGAAAGACATTAAAACTACTACGGTAAATTGTGTTTTGAAACAAGTAGCGGATGAAATTCGAATCAGGGGCCCTTAAATTGCTGACAGATTATCGCGCAGTGGAGTCCATTGATCGTTCTTCCACAAACACAATCGACTCCCACTCACGGTGTCTCCAGAATGTCAGCGTGATTCGCAAGGGCTGCAGAAATATCGCACGTTTGTCAACACATGCGAGCTTGCAACTTTGCGGCGGCCACATTTAGTCGAAGTACCGAGACTCCCGACGGCTGGCAAAGATCATCTGGGATAGGTTGAGTCATCCGCTAGTTAAACCCCAACACACGGAAAGATCAACTGTGGGCTGCGCGGTAGACTATCAGTCGACCAGTTGTTTCACTTGAATATCCCAAAGAAGTGTCCTTCCCTGAATTCCCCTGGTTCTAGGAGTGAACAACTTTCTTGTTGCGGAGTACTGGTCCTCGTAAGGCGTCTATAGGTCATTGCAAGATCGAAGGGGTAAGATCTGAAAGTGTTGATATTCAGGAAACTGGCGGAACGGTCAACCGGGGAATAAATCGTGGAAACTATTATGGAGTAAGGATTTCATAAGCGCAGAAAGAATAAAGTGTTAGCAGGATTCCAAAAGTCTATATGCGCTCTTCAACCACAGTCCTGATTGGAAGACAGAGAGGGAGGACGCATTTGTATTTTGGTATAACGAAGATATCAGATCATACTGCCAAATATTAAAGATACTTGCAGACCACTTTGAGTGGATCTTTCAATAGACCTTAAAAACAGACATGTCCGTCGGAAATTCACCACTTGTTTCGACAGTCGTTAAGATAATGTGTTTCGTTCAGATTTAGTTCCTTGGTAGACTACATCTGGACAGATAATAATATTCCCTTTCACACGGGAGTGGCGCTTCAACGACTTGATCACAAAGGGAGACACGGACCTCTCTAGGGATCCTTTACAGGAGGCCTGTGGCAGTTCGCGTCTCCTCGCCCTCCGCCTTTGTCACGCTGCCGTCCTGTCCGCCTCACACTCCGTGTCGATACGCTGCTGGGACGCGCGAGTGCTCGAAGCCAATCAACGCTGTCCCCACTCTGATTGGCTGGCGACGTGGAGACAACGAAGGGCGCACGCACGCGCTGACAACACCTCAAAGGCGGGCACAGACAACAATTTGCTTGGAGCGCGCTCGCGGCGACTGCCTACAGAGCCCTTGTGTACGCACTTCCTCAGGCCGTAAAGGTTGTCCTACTCAAACCGTCTTCCCTGACTTTTGATTAGGAATCTTTATCTTGTCGACCACACAACATTCGACAGGCCCCATTTTAACAGACAATACCAGTTAAAAGGATGGCAGTTAGGGCGAGTGAGAAAGGAACCACCGTTTCTGACTTATTAGCCATCAGTAACTAGCCGTATCCCATCTAAGGTCTTGATAACCTAAGATCCAAACCCGGACTGCTGACAATCGCGCATTAAATTAAAAGCTCCAACGGACGAGCGTGCCGCTTAAAGAGCATGCGGTCTCAAGGTACAGTCCATCGGCTTCTAAACACGCGGTGTCGGAGGACAAGTCTTCACGTGTGACAGGGGGCGCATGTGTCCAGGATACACAAATGCTCCCCCTAAGGGGTGGAGAGGCATTGGCATCTTATAATTCTACTTTTGGGGCCTTCTGTAACACCGCCTTCCGCATTTGGTTCCCAGTCAGCCACAGCCATTCAGAACGCCCCAACAGCATGAAGACCGATGCAAACATGTCCTCCCCGGAGGCGCTCGGGCGCCTACTCCACCAGAGCTGAACCCTTGACCTCTTTTGGCTGAAAACTCGCTCCAACCTATTCCCCGTTCATCCAGTACGGAATTCAATGTTCTTCCTACTGGGGTACAATCTTTCCCCTACCTCCTCTGAACAAGGCTTGAGGGCCCCCGTGGCTACTTATGGCTTAAGATGCCGCAGTAGCTTAACCGAGCATCAAACCAGATAACACGAGTTCTAAAGCGAGATGAAAATAGGACACGATAGCATCCCGAGAAGCGGATCGCGATACTTCTTTTTTGAAACACCAGACAGTAAAAATACACATATTTCAACGAACACTGTCTTCTTTTTCGACTTAACAGCCAATAGACATCGGATAGGAATTTCAAGTTTCTAGATCCGGCCTTTCAAAATAAGGACATGTGGGCATCTCCTTGAACTGGATCCCGGTTGCCAAGGCATATGTACCTTCGACCTCTGTCTGCGGAATCGTAGGCCTCGGAGTACATAAAAAGCTGTTTCAGTGTTTAGTTTTTAATACAGCCTTGCTTATCTTTTATCTTATTCTGCAATAACCAATGAGGATCGCTACGGAAAGAAGCTCTTGGCGGAGCTGTCCAATCGCATTTAGCCTTGTCAATGGGGGGGGGGGGGGAGCAAGGGTTGGCGGTGTTGAAGGAACACATCGATCTACCCAGACGTCGCAGTCCCTCTTCATCTGTTACCACGACGTAAAGCGACGAAGGGAACACTAACAGATTGCGAAGGGCTGTGGAGACTGACTAAAGAACTACTTGGGACGTGCAGAAACCAAAGGCAAAAAATATGCACCAGCACTTTCTAAATGACTACATTGCTTCATGGCGCGGTTCTCCATGAGGCGTTAGCAGTATTGGCGCTTAAGCAAGGTTTCGATGGATAACTGAGACTGAAATAGAACCAGACCTTCGAATCCGGGGTGTCCTTGTTCACCTTTGCGGCCGACGTCACCAGGGCTGCCTTGTAATCCGAAGTAGCCCAGCAGAGAAGATCCCTTCCTGCCCTTGGGTCCTTTTGGGCCTTCCAGACCTTGGTAGCCTGAAAGATATGACGAAGAGGACGTTGTATTAGAAAGACTGCGACCTTGAAACACTATACGCAATCTAGGCAACTGAGAACAGGGCGTGGGCTAGGCCGAAACTTCGGGAGAGAAAGACAGACGGAAAGAGAGAAAGACAGTGAGGCAATTTGAAGTTGGATACATTTGGAGACTGAAATACTGATTTTGAGCAGCAGTCGTCGTCGGGCGATGACACCCTGAGATCTTCAAGCGATACCAGGTTGTCTTATTTTCACAAGTAATTTGTGAGGATGATTTCAGAGGCGAACAAGTTTCTTCACACTGATTCTACCCCTTAATGTTGTTTAATACATCGCCAACAAGCGAGCTAAGGATCGCAGGCTGACAATCCCTAGAGGCAGCCTAATGTTTGCACTAGACGGATGAGCTCAGCATAAATCAGACGAATGTAATTCCTGTTACAGTCACCGATTCTCCTTCTTCACAACCACTGTTGGCGATATCCCAGTTATTCTGATTTAAGTAGGATCCAAAGCCTACATTACGCACGTGTCTGACACAGTTTGGCTCGAGCTACGACGATGCCCATCACAACTGATATGCTTGTACGTATCCTGTTAGGTCGCTTACGTCCACCAGATCCTTCAATTCAAAACATATGGGGAGTTCAAAGAATATTGGGCCTTGGTTGGTATATGTAGTTCCAAGAGTGTGTCTTTCTGGGGGGGGGGGGGAAGAGGGGGAAATTGCGAATCAGGACATAATACATAATAGAGAGTTCCTTCGGTCTGGTCGAGTAGAGGGGCGTTCACCGATCGTTCATACGGAACTCACTCGTTCTGTTGTGCTTTACGGGCACTCCCCCTGGAGCCCAACTAGCAGACACACAGCAGCGCATAATATAAGCAGAGTTTTATTACCGACAAAGACAAGGGAGAGTTGAATGACCATTTCTGGCTTAATAACCATCGTCAGACAGTCATTGCCGACCCCGAAGTTTGGAGCATGTGGGGCTCGAACTCGCGACCTGTTAGTTAGAAGTCCGCGCCTCTAACCACTGGGCCACGAGCTCGTTGCCCTGTCGATTTCGATCGGGAATGTACAATGGTAGGGGGCGTTCGGGTGTTGCACACTTCGGAGTTGGCTGGCGACGACTAATAAGCTTTAAATGGCCATTCCGGTCTCCCTTGACTTTGTCGGCCTAAATTATAACTCTCAGGACGATTTGAGCATAGTGACTTACTAAATAAGGGGCTAAGTTAGCAGACAGAATAAACTACGATAGATTGGAAGGTTGATTTTGGAAGAAGAACAGACGAATGTGATATTTATTAATCTTGTTTAGCCGATACTAGTAAATCAAGTCAGAGATCGCAAGATCGGCTCGCCCGTACTATAGGTGGCCTCACATTGGATGTAAGGGGTTCCTATTCCCATGTGTAAACCCTAACCCTTATTCGCGTGTTCCAACTTAAGTGAACCCCCACCTCTAGAGTCGGAGACAAGGTCACCTGTAATGGTGGGGGAAACATAGTCCTACGTCAAACCACAAATCAATGTCATGCCTAAGACCAGTGTGAGTACTTATTCTGTCCTGCACACAGTCGTATTTTCAGTTTGAGCCCCACTGTAGAGGTTTTGGAGGCTACATTGTGCCCGACACGCGTTAAGTAGGCGGCACAGAGTTCGCCGCTGGGACACCATCCCTCGGTAAATGCAATACACACTGACTGGACACCACATGAGCTTGGCCCACGAGCCTATAACAGCGGCTGCCACCACTATCTCAGGGACTCTCAGGCATGAATGGACGCAGTCAACACCAGCCCTGGCTTCGCCAATGGCCACTGCCGCCTGAGAGAACAACTCTGGATTATGTGTACAATAAAACCCTCATTCTGGTGCCTTCCGTCTTCTCCTTCCAATCTAAAATTTGACTTGACACAGACTGCACACACACCGCCTGCCGCAACAAGCGAATGGTGCATATATGTAATCTCACCATAAGCTAATTTACGCTCAACGTACCGTGCGGCGTCCGTCATGCTGTGGGGTCACATGATGTACGTGTTCATCCTTGACGGTCGGGTCGCCACATTTACTCGAGTGTTCGCGGTTCTCATGGGACGCAAAGGGTAACTGCCCGGTAAGGCATTAGCTGTGCGGTTACACTTACCTTCCAAACCGTCCAAACCGCGACGTCCAGGCTCACCGACGTCTCCGCGCTCGCCATCGAAGCCAGGGTAGCCGGGTTCACCAATAGGGCCACTGGGTCCGCGATCGCCGACACGACCCTTGATGCCGGGTCTGCCGTAGAAGCCTGGAAGTCCGGGTGCGCCCCATGCTCCGTCATCGCCAGGGAGACCTTCAAGACCCATGTCTCCAGGAAGGCCCTCAAGTCCCAGACGGCCCGGTTCGCCCTTCTGTCCAATGAGACCAGGCATGCCTACGAGTAGGTCGGATACAATGTGTATTTGAAAGAAGCGTGCACAGAAAGATTACTGGTAACTAAGTAGGGCAGGCAATTGATTCTCTGCGGAAACTTGAGACTATTTCAAGAACTCTTAATCTGATGACTCAATCTGCTTTGCAAGATGCGCTCTATCAGAGTCAACGGGGAAGAATATTCGGGTCAAGTTTACTCCAAGTGATCTAAGGGTATTCAGAAAGGTCACCTAAAAACAGCCCTTGGGAGAGAGTAACTGAATTTATTTTCGTTCGTAATTATCGCCCCAGGATCATCCTCAAAAATCTGACATCGCCAGACGTCTGTAACACAAATAGGGCAGGAGTGAATCAACAACTTGGAGACCGTGTGAAGGTGGTTATTGGTTCAGACTTTATCCTCTCAGACGAGGATTGCTGATAATTCTCCTGACATGCCACCTAGCCCTAACTCTTATTTTCGCTCGTTGTTCGACTGGACATTTAATGAATCACTAACGGATGTACACATTTTTCTTCCCATGCAGCCCGGTATGTTGAATCAATAAAATACACCTACTGGTACAGCATAAGTAGACGGATATTAAACATTTAAGTGAAAATGATTTAAAAGATGGCCTTACCAGGCCGACCGTTTATTCCCTCGATTCCACGCTCGCCCTTGAAGCCCTGGGGGCCGGCCTGACTTGGGCCCTGGATGCCTTTGGGACCTTGGACTCCATCGAAGCCTGGGGGAAGGAGATAATCGGATGAACAGTTAAGTGATAGTACAGACAATTCGAACAAATAGACGGTACAGATTTCATCTGGGGAGACTGGTCACTCTTTTCTAATCCAGTACCGAATAGAACTTCTGATAGACTAAGTGACAGATACGCAGAATTTAGGCTGAAGTGAAGTTGAGCAGTCTTTTTGTTTTCAAATAATCTTCTTTAGATAGTACTATGGACGTGTTCGGAAAATCCTTTGTATATAACTTTGTGTGGTAAGTCAAAAATTGTAGTATCGTCTATTTGAAAACAGGTTCATAAAGTTTTAAATCGAAACGTTCGTGAGTTTAGCGTTTGCTAACGTGAATAAATGTGGGTAAAGTTACTGTAAGTATGAAGGAAAAGTTGCAGAATGGGAGTAAACTAACTTAAAAACCTCTCGATACAGGGCCTTAAAGAAACTTGAAGGAAATCATGGTGTCACTCAATGCAATCTCAGACCTAACGTTAAACAGGCCGATTGGCTGGTCTAAATGGATAACCGAAAAATCTGTGGAACCAATCCAGGCCTCTAAACAGTCCCTTTTTGGCTATAAACACTTTTTCAAATGGCAGGAAAGACGAGCATTCAGAAACCGGCACCTAGTTTGACCGAGATATCCAGGGAGGATGGCGCATGATACTCAGCATTAATAACCTGCCTAAGTAATCCTTTCTGACTAGAATTAGAGCTCAGAATTTAGGTTTATGTTTCATGAGATATGTGCATAACATAGTATTACTGACAAGCACATATGCATATTTGGTTCATGGGACCTACTGGCCGGTGTGATTATCCATGGACTTTAATATAAATGACGACATAACTGATTCCCTCTGGCTGGTGTAATTACGATTGTTGGAGTTGTTCCAATTACTTTTCTGTACACAAAAAATCATGAAAACGTCAGCTTGATCGTCACTCTTATGACGAACCAGATCCCAGAGAAAGCTTTCAAGCAAAATCAACAGAGATGATTGTTTAAGGTCCTTTTGCATAACTTTTAGACGAATAATGGACAACGGGACAAGATCGTCACGAAATACCGCTGTATGCGGAAGTAATGCACACGGGCGCTGTCATAAAAATTGAATATTTTACAAATTGACTCTCCTCTTGATGCAGAATGAGGACAGGTCTGCGATAAGCAAAAAGGGAAAACATTCTTACTTGGCGTTAATTAAAAAAGACATTGCCTTAGTGACCGGAGGCAAAAAAGATGTATCAGCGCACTTAGTTTCCAAAAGGGCTGTTTTGGGCAATTCGCTTCCCAAGGCTAAGTTTACAGCACTTAAAATCTAAAGCAGCTGTGTTGATTTTACCATTTACTAGACTCTTCAAGTTAACGCCTTGAACTCATTTAGATTACCTGCTACAAGGCTGTCTCATTATTGACCAAAGGATCTGTCTCAATTGGCCGTAAAATTAGCTGATTCCCCAAAGCAGGCGATAGAAGGGTTGAATAGCTTAGATGAAACATTAAAAGAATCCCTACTCAAAAGATTTTGCTGCAAAATCACTCAGAGATTAGAGTCTACCCATATTTACTTGCGCATATGGTTTCTAGATTGATTTCAAAATGTGGATATGTATGGATCGCATGCTTGTCGGTGGATTTTTCTTGAATCCTTCTTTATGCCTTGCCGCACTTTTCTCCTAAACAGATTGTAGATGTCTTGGGGCGTAGATGCTACTTTCAGTATTACAGATGGTCTTGCGCCACAGCTCAGGTGAAGCAGGCTGCACATATTCGTGTCCGCACGAAAATTTAATAAGGTTTGATCCCGCTGCCGCACATGATGAATGTCATATGGACAGCCTACTGAATTAGTTTTGAGTAGGCGATATTGCGTTCAAATAGCATATTTCAAGTCAGGACCCGAGTTCGGGGGGGAGCGCACTCCTGAAACGGTCTAATGAATGCGCTTGCTTCCATTTCTGTTTGCGTTCTCTGTTATTCCTAATCCAGCGATTGGCTTGGCTAAGCAAGTGTGATCTCAGTGTCCGAGTTCGGGGAGAGTTTGAATGCGCTTGCTTCTAGTTCTGCTTGCGTTTTCTTTGCTTCCTCATCCAGCGAATGGCCAGGCTATGTACGTCAACCGCCCCGCTCAGCATATGTTTACGTTTCTTCCCAATCCGGCTTTTGGCTGCCGTGTGCACGTTAATGGCACTTACCAGACGGTGTGTAACTCGTTCTTGCTTCTATTTCAGAACAGGTTTAATTTCCTGCCCAATTTGGCAGGGCTGTGTATGTTAAGGAGATTGCCTAGTCGGAGCGCACGCTGACCTAGCTTCCGATTGACCATGCGGTCACTTCCCTTTCTAATGCAGCGAGTGGTGTGTCAATGGCTCTACACCCTTGTCTGGATCATTGCACATTATGCGGAGTGACATTGGCAATGCGCTCCCGTTTCCCATTGGTTGACAGCTTCCCGATGCATTTTTATTCGCTCCATACACACCAGCGGATTCCTCAAACGGTCCCATCTACACCCTTTCATACTACGCATTCAAATTTCACATCCCTTAAAACCACCTTCACTTGCTCGAACATGACTTCGCCTTTCTACATTCCGCCTTTGCTTTGGCCTGACTTATCGCCTCACCAGCAAAACCCCTATTACCACCATTCCCGTATTACAGGAGCCTTCGGTCTGCCTACCGCCAGTGGTGCTATAGGACCAAACCTGACCGAAAATCTTATTAGTATTTTTCAGTATGGCATATTTGGCATTACAATAAAAGTATACATATGTATGGCATTCTCTGCCGTACACCAAAAGCGACCGAGCCATTGCTGTAGAGCTAGGTGTTGGAATTGTACACCGCCCCAAAGTCACCATAAGCAATGGGGTCATGAAAATTAAAGACCGGATAAAACCTGATGAGCAATCTGAAGTAGTGTATCGCATTCTGTGTCAAAATTGTCCTTGTAACTACACAGGACAGACTGGACGCATGATCGGATCGTGCATACATGAACATAAGCTGGCTGTGCGACGAGGCGGCGCATTATCACAAGTGGCCGCTCACACCTACGAAATGGGTCATGCGTGTAAAATCGCAGCCACTAAAATTATGGCCCACGCCCGAAACAAGACAGGCCGAGAATTGATTGAAGCCTCTGCCTAGAATGAGAACTCGGTCAATCGATTTATCGATCTGACGCCGGCGTACGGAGCCCTGCGTAGTCACCTCCAGTTTTGCGCGTCAGGCTATGATTGGTCTACATGCCTTAACACTGTCGCTTGTTCTGTTCTCTGACGATGGACTCCTGTACAAGTCTGAAAGCTCAGGACAATAAACAAAGTGTTCAGATGCTCGACTCTTCATCTTCACTTATATATATATATATATATATATATATGAAGATCTGGACTTACCCGGTTCTCCCTTGAGTCCTTCAAGTCCCGGGATACCAGACGGCCCTCTCTCGCCCTTGATGCCCTTGTCAGCAGAGGGACAGACTGGAGAAAACCCTTTTCTGCCCTTCAAACCCACGACGCCCTTTGGTCCGCGAGGGCCGGCAAAACCAGGAAGACCTGGTTGACCTGGTTCACCCACGAGTCCGGGGAGGCCCGAGAAACCAGGCCGTCCGGGAAGTCCACTAATGCCAGGGAACCCGGGGTCTCCGTCAATACCCCAGAGACCTCGGAGGCCATCTTCACCAGGAAGACCGACGAGACCTGGTTGGCATTAACAGGCAAGCAAGAAGTGTAGCGCGAGGATGATCCAAACCAATATATGTGGATGTGAACCAGATAAAGGCAACCACCACCACCACCACCACCACCACCACCACCACCACCACCACCACCACCACCACCACCACCACCACCACCACCACCACCACCACCACTTGATGAGGGGAAATATTACGAACAGCTAACCTTGTACGCCCTTTTCTCCAAACAGCCCGAAAGAACCGGGGTAGCCCTTTGGCCCCGCTCGTCCTGGGTGTCCTTTTCCGCCCTTTAGTAGGAATGGGAGCATACCGGGTTCTCCAGGCTCACCAATGTCTCCAGGTAGGCCAGGGAGTCCCATGATGCCCTCTTCGCCCCTCATGCCCTTCGGGCCTGAAGGACCAGGCAATCCGGTTGGCCCCATTTCACCGGTTCTTCCGCGGAATCCCTTTTATTTGAAGGCCGAAGAAGGGGGGAGAACAGGTGTGAGGTTTGCAATGCATAAAACGTAGTCAGGTGGGAGGTCTGACTGACTGATTATGTCATTACCAAGAATTTGCATGAATCGTCTTAATCCATTTTATCCCCGGCCTGTTGTGAATGAAATAAAATAATTGAAAAACGCGACAGCACTGCAAGTTTCACTTTTCGAAATTTAGAATGCAACATGTTTTGTAGATTTCAGCCAAATACATTTACGCACTGCAGTGAGCCGGAATACAAGACTGCCTAAATGCAATACCTCCGACGGGTCTTCAAAGCCAATGACTACCCGTGCAACTTCGTAAACCGGTACATACGCAAAAGGGACGAAAGACCTAACCGCACGGACACTAAATTTTGGCGAGTGCTTCCGTATGTCAAGAACGTTTCGGAAGCTGTTGGCCTCCTTCTCGCACCACTTGGGGTTGGAGTGACACACAGACCGGAGGCAACCATCAGCCGTCAACTGATGAAACCAAAAGACCCACTGCCACGGCAAGAAACGTCTGGAGTCGTTTATCGGATCTGGTGCAGTTGCGAACAAGGCAATTACGTCGGAGAAACTGGAAGACAGCTCCGAACGAGAATGGCCGAACACGCGGCAGCGGTGCGGAGAAATGACGCCAGCTCTCAAGTTGCGGCTTATTCGACGGGTTCCGGCCACACATTCGAATTTGACGAGGCCGAAATTCTCGCAAGAGGGGACAACCGCGTGAGCCGGGAGCCACTGGAATCATGGTTTATTGGCCCGCAGTCCATCAACAAGTGCAACGATTTTCCCATTCCATAATCTGTACCGAGACTTCGCATAGGCGGAATAATTAGCCATGCGGGGAGTGCACCGGTGAGCACTTTTCCCAACACCAGGGTCGGTGGGTCAGATGGTCGAGCACTCATCGCACCAACATCCAACGCACGTGATAAGATTTAAGCAATTAACGACGCGAATATCGGCCATCAAACAGTCATCACACCACGTGCGACGATCCCTGCTGAATGCTGAGGAGAGCCGTGAATGTTCATAGGTATGCAGTAGCATGGCGACTGCGTCCTATAAGTACTGCAGCCCCTTGTGCATGAACCATCCGTATCTGCTTTTGTCTCTGAGGACGGGTTCGAACAGGAATCTGAAACGTCAGGCTAACAAAGCTCATGTCCCAGCGATCGTGTCCCTTCTTCAACACTTAGGCTTCTTGTGTAGAAACGATCTATGATGGAAAGACAAGTTAGATTTGCCTTCGAATACAATATTTTCTACATAACTGTAAGGTGTTTGGCTGATAAGCTAGAGCTTAAAAGATACTGAGGATTCGGCACTTGCGTGCACGGTAGCTCTTAAAACTCTAAAGGAGTAAACTCGGTAAAATAGCGGTTTCTATTTTAAAATGATTACAACGTACGATTTAAAATTATGACTTAGATCGTCCGCCTACTGGGCCAAATTAGTTAAGTCATAGTTGCTGTGTGAAGGCGATTGAGGGGGTTTAATTACGCCCTAATGCCTAGTGTGACATAGTTTACAGAAGAAAACTCTCCGACTGCTATCGATGAACGAGCCAAATGGGGCAGTCTTGCATTCATGGGCGAAGGCCTACTATCCAGTTTCCCATTAAGTGTAATTCAATTGCCGAGCTACTTAAATGATAACAGCGGCATGTGCGGACGAGCATCCACTTTTAATCCACTGGCTCCCTGAAAATAGAGTTTTAGAAAACATTATTTTCTACCTTCACAATAGACGGCAACCTGTTAATTAGCTGACTCTCAGGGGCGGATACCCATGGCAAATCAGGCAACTGCTCATCAAAATGAATAGGATGCGATCGGATTTGTCACGATGCGAAATCGGTCTGGACCCCGAAGGTCTTCGACTGATGGGCAAATGGGACCCTCTCGTTGGCTCCTATTGCATGTCCAGCTAAGCAGGATTCAAGTTCTCTTTACGGTAACCTGACACACCCGAAGAGCAGGCCAGGTCGTGTGTGTGGGCAGTGCAGAGGGTCTGTCCAAAGTTGTTAGTCTTCATCGTCTCGTTATCAGGACAAGGCGGGCGGAAGAGACGAGAGTGCGATAGATGCTGAAAGCGCAAGTCATCGCTTCTGGGACCATCTTGCCGGGCAGCAGTGAACACCGTTGTTTGTGACGGTAGCACTCTTATCGTAACCCTGTCCATGTGCTTTAGAAAAATAACCACAAATCAAGTATGCAACTTTCAGTAGAGTTCTCACGAGAGCTGAAGCTAACTGATATTGTTCCATGGTAGCTAGGCCCTAGATTTAGTCTCACGCACGTCTGCTACCGTAATTC